GATGATGATGATGATGATGATGATGATGATGATGATGATGATGATGATGATGCAGGAGCCCCCAGGCCCTGGCCCTTGCTCATGGGTTTTCCCAATTTTTGCAATGGCTTTCCCTTCTTCTAAACTGCTGGTTTCCACACATCAGTGGCCTTTTTTTCCAGCGCTTGCAGGGCAATTTCCAGCGTCCTCTTTCTCAGCTCATGTGGCACTGGCACGGAGCACACGCACAGTGAGAGCGAAGGCCATCGCGAGGGAGGCTGCAAACCAGGCGCAGCATGGCTCACTCCTCGCTGCGAACATGCCGACGGAACCAGTATCAGTATGTATACTCTTGTTACTGTAAAATTTTAAAAAAAACAACTCACTGTCAAAATGGTTTTACATCTCGGGCTTATTGATCAACAAAGCGCTACCAACCATCGACCCAAACTCGAACAGCTCAAAGACTCCCAAGATCATGACCTGGGATGCCTGACGAGCCAAGGGATGTGAAGGGGGTGGTGAATAGCACGGTTTTGAGGGCTGGCTGCACACGTTGATCTTTGTTTCTTGCTTTCGGAACGGTTTTGGGAATAGTCCATGTGTATCTGGTTCGAGGTCGCCGTGAGCTATGGACTGACCTGTGGGAAAAAACATATGTGATTTTGATCAGAGAAAAAGGGAACAGTGTTTGTGATAACTTTTTGGCAGTAGTAGAACCATTCCAAACATACAATAACTATCAATAATTCACCATAATTCACCCTACAGTAGGTCGATCCACCTGCACCTTTCCTCTGCATGCCCCCAGTCTGCCAGTTCGGCGTCCTTGGCCGGTGCGAGCTCGCCATGCTCAGCTCCCTCCCACAGCTTCACTCCACAGGGTCAGGTTGTCGCGCAAGAGTTGGAGAAGTTGGCTGACCGCCCCCTGACGACCAGAACCAGGTGGAACGCGGTTTAGGAACCACCCGGGTGGAACCTTTTTTCGCGTCAGGAAGATCTGGAACCCCCAGTGCATATGCTGCGACTGCACCTAATAGATACTAATAATCACTTTAGCGGGAATGAATTCTCATCTCAAGCGGTGCAGCATCCATGATCATTCTGCTTTAACAGTATGATGGCTTTGTATTTTGAGTCGAGGTCAAGTATCAAAATGGTATCACCATGGGCTGCTACGGAGTGGTGTTCAATCCGTGCCCCAAACAAAACAGGCGCAAAGAAGCCAGTGAGAAGAGTCAAGCAATGCCCGCAGCCTGTGGTCAAAGGTCCCGCAGGCAGGTCTTGAAGTCTCCCCCTCAGTGTCCCTGGATCCGTACCAATCCCCCAAAAAGGTTAAAGATTCAAGCTTTCCTCCAAATTAATAGCAAGAAGCTACTAGGTTGGAGGCCATCGCTACTAGGGTTAAGCTGTAATACATTTCAAGGGTATCCGCTTTTCCCAGGTAGGCGCCTTGTCATAGCCTTCCAGCTCCCAATCTTCTCCTCAAAGGTGCGACAATTCTCGCAGCTTTGAGCGCGAAGGATGGCAGCCCGTGCGCTCCCATCCTTTTCGAGAAGCTCCAAAACGGTTTGCAATTCAAGGGCGATGGTCACCAAATGTCACCAATAAGAACCAATAAGTGTCAAAAAATGTCTAGAGTATTCCAGAATTAGAAGGCTTCAAAGTGAACAGGGGAGCTCTGAGCCAACGTTCTATGTTGGGCCCGGAAAAATAAACACTACAGTATATACAGCAGTGCCGTATATGATGCGTCTGGATCTGTGACCTCCCTGGTGGGTCACACATGGTCACATTGGTCACACCTGTCCTCGCCCCAGGTTGAAGGAGATCGCATCGTCAAAGGACTCTCGGGCGATTTGCAGAGCTTGGTCGTGGTCCTGGAGCACCTGCGAGGTAAGACGGCCGTCACTCAGGCGTCAGTGAGTCAGTGGATATGAAGACAAGCACCACAAAAGGTTCCGAAAGGTTGCGAACTCCCAAATTTCTGAGAAAGATTTTAGTATAGTTTTAGTACGTAATCATTTATACAATTAGTCCGCTGGCGAGCGTCCTTGCAGGGGCAAAGAGAAGGGAAGGGTGTGAAGGCCTTCAAGGGTCTTCGCATGCATACCTACAGTATGCCGCATGCCTATAGCTCATGTGTCAGGATCTATATATGTCACCACAAAACTTGAAAGCTAAGACACCTAAGAGCATCTTGAACCAGCAAACAGCAAGGACCTTTGATGGGCCTCTCTGATGGTCTTTGCACGCCTTCCCCCTCGATTGATTTTCGGGACGGTCCACCACATGTCACCACGAAATCAAACCGTGGAACAAACAGCAAACCACGAAGCATCCACGAAGCATCCACGAGGTTTCCAGACGCCTCATGAAGGAAGACTGAGAAGTTCAGGGCCAAGGACAAACGCACCGGGTTCAAGGGGCTCAATGCCTTGGCACTTCTGCGCGAACTTTCGACCCAGTCCCACTCTCCATCTGGGCGAGCTGACACTCGAGTGTTCAAGTGAAGGACTTTCCATGCGAACATCGGATTTCGCAACTGGGCGGGGAAACATCGGACTTGGGAAACATCGCCAGCAAGCAGAAAGGAAGTGGATGGACGTGGTGACATGGTGCAAAAAACTGCTGGGGATCTCACTCTCCAGTTTCAAAAGATCTTCCAAAACAGTCAGCTGATGGCAACCATCAAAATGCGACATTTTGGGGCACTGGAATGACTAGAAGGAACGTGTTGACTTGTTCAATGTAAATCATTCTGTACAGGTGCTCATCACTTCCATGCAGTCGCTGGCCTCTGTCGATGCCGAGGCCGTCTTATAGGCCTCTTCGGCCAAGCGCACCCGCTGGGCGGAGAGCTTGGAGCACCCCGTGGTGGCCAAATAGCCTCACAGCGGTCGACGATGCAAAAAGGAAAACAGGATGAAACGCGTCGATGCTTGGCATCGTGATCTCCAAACCAAATCCGCCAGCTATCTGGTGAGGGGTCACTGGTGAGCTAGCTGGTGAGCAAAGCACACCAGCTGCATGGCCATGTTAAGGAGAAGGGAAAGCATCAATATGATTTTAAAATTAAACATGAACCTATATAACTGAACATGGAAGCATATGGAAGCCAACACAATTTGACAAACCATCCACAATCCGAAATGCCAGTACGGAGCAACATGTTGGAGCGATTCACCAGATTGAAAGCTTCAACAAGTCTGAAAACCTCTCCGCTTTCTTCAGGCACATCTGCTGCATTTTCCACCCCAAATCATTGATGAGAAGCGGTACATGTCACCACTGAAGCGGTTGTAGCACACCAAGTCCTTGGATCATTCGAAGCCCGTCGGCTTCTGGCCCTCAAAGCCCCAAAATCCTCATTCTCCATGTGCTAAGTCTGCTAAGTGTGAACACTTTGCACTGAGAAACGCCATGGTTATCAGAAGATGTTCTCGGGGCATACTCGAAAGCTTTCTGAATACAAAAGTGGCCCATGCATGGCCCATGCATGTCCATTGCCAAGCAATGCCAGGTGTGCATCCGGACGGCCCTTAAGCCACCGCCGGAGAGACTTGTCCGGCACGCACACCACTCAGCATGCAGGGAGACAACAGGGGGAACCCCTGGTAGAGTGACGCCGGAATCTCCACAGCCACCAATGGGAGGAATTGATACAGCGACAGCAGCTGTTCCAGTGACAGCAGCAGCACATCACATAGCTGTCCCTCTCGAAGAGCGTTGGGAGCAAAACTTGGGGGCAAGTGGGGTAACAAATGGGAACAAAACACGGCAAGGAGAAAAACATGTTGGGAAGTTGGGGAAAACAACTGGTCACCCAGTCAGGAGGAAGTAATACTTGCGGAATACATGGATCTTCCAAATATATGCTGATAACACGTGCGGCATCGTAGAACTATCCTAAGACTTGACTCGTGAAAAGAGTCTCAGCACCTCCCAGTCCATCTCACAAACTCTCTACAACTCCCAAATCCCACCGAAACAAGAACATCTGGCACCTGTGAACTGACTCCCTCTGAAAATAAATGTGGAGCTTTCTCCACCTGTTCACCAATCAAGTGGGATGTCCGCAGCCCCCGGCAAAGGCAACAAATGGTGATCCAGCTTTTTTCCTGGGTAGGTGAAGGAGCAGCTAATTATATACTGCTTAATTACGACAGTCGAGTCGTACTTCAGTACCCATGGCAAAGACCGAGCCCTACAGCTGGCAGCGGGTGGAAAGGCCGACCATGACCATGGTGGAATCCTCCAGTTGTCTTCAACGGAACCGAGGTGCTTCAGCGCTGGCAGAAGTGGACTGAAGATGACAGAACTCCAAGAGCTGAGCGCAAACTCTCTCCTTCTTCTCGCAAGAGTCAGGCCACAAAGTCAGGTGTTAGACTTGGTCATGCGAGAAGAAATACATAGACTTTCCGGCCCCCAAAGAGGATTTCAAAGGAGAACTCATCAAGTTACAAGTTGATTTGGTTTCTTGGAAACATTTGGAAACCACAACATTGTACAAAGGCGATCATCACATGGAGCATAATGAACGGAGACCCTTCTAGTCGGTGGCTCCAGGCGTTCTGACCCTGTTCAACTTCCGGAACAACGGCGAACCGGACTGAATTGGCCGGTCCAAATCATCTGAAAGAGCTGGCCGATCTGCATCAGCAGCCTGAGCCACCACGCGTGTGTTACAGCTGTCTTTGGGCGTCGGGGCTCAAGGAACGGCTTGGAGCCTCCTTGAGCCCGCACGTGCAGGCGGCCCCCATTGCGGGACGGCCGCTCCACGGGTGAACTGATTCACCCCGTGTGCGACTCTGGCAATGCGAAGCGACACACTACCCACATCAACATGCGAAGTGAGAGACTAATCCCAACGGACTAGTTTACAATCAATCGAGTTTTTTGAGGTGTGCGATTCTTCTTCTTTTGGCTAGTGTTCATCTTAGGCCAGGCAACCGCCTGGATGGCATCCCGCAGGCCTTGCAGGACTCTTTTGCCATTTCCTTAGTGCCAACATCAACTGCAAACAAGTAGATTCTGAGAAACACTCACAATCCCCGCAAAAAAGGAAGAAAATCTGGGGACCTATATTATATGACCTAAGCATCCTGAGGCCGATTTTGTTGTCACCACATCGAAAGCACATCAGCCCCGTAACTCCTTGTGACACGACATGACATTGGAGCACCATGCTTGCATTCTTCGGCTTCATTGTGTGTGCAGGCGCACGTGAACAATAAACCACGGTAGATTTGGAACCAATCCCAAATCACGCCAATGTCCTCCTTGGGATGTCGGTCTGCAGGCGGCAACCCCCCCCAAAACACCTGGGGTTCGAAGACGTCCTCCGAAGACCCAAAAACGCTGCCAAGCCTCGGGCCCAACAATCGCGTTCCTCCCGTGTCAAGCTTGAAGGCTCCCCAGACCGCCCGAGCTGTTCAAGGTGGGCTACGGCTTCCTCGCAGAATGACAACGTCCGAGTCCACCGGAACCTGAAGAATCCTCCAGAGTCTGGGAGTCCAAAGCCGGAGAAAAACCGGCGTCCGGAGTGAGCCGCCAGATGAGAGAAGCATGTCTTAGAAGACATATGTCCCACTTGCTTTTGGGGCAAAAGATCCGGTGACTATAGTGACTGGGGCAGTAGAGACCCGATTGATGATCCATATGTACATCATAACAACTGGGATTAGGAAAACTGCTGATTGGGGCCTTGTTCTGGGGTTTCATGATGGACCTTCGCCCATGCTTGATCTAGAACAGTCTGGAGGTTGATTCCCTGGAAAAAAAGGCAGCATTGCGGTTTAGCGTTTCCAAGAATACAGTCTATAAGTCAAGACAACCATGCCACACAGGTGAGCTAGAACTAGGAAGAAGTTCAAGAGCAAATACTAACCGAGTGTCTGGTAAGGAGATCAGCCCAATCAACACTAGCAGCACGTGTGTGTGTGTGTGTGTGTGTGTTTGTGTGTTTGTTTGTTCGTTTGTTTGTTTGCTTGCTTGCTTGCCTGTTTGCTTGCTTGTTTGTTTGTTTGTGTGTGTGTGTGTGTTTGTGTAAACAGGTTAAAGTATATATTATATATAATATATATAGTAAACACACATAAACCAACAGAAAGAGCACCGCTAGTTTCTCAACGTGAAGGGGTCTTCCACACGACGGCCAAACACGCCGAGTCCTTATAGCAGCCCCAAGCTTCAGCCTCTACTGCCGCCTTGTAGCACTCCTCTCGGCTAGTCTCCCCATAAACCAGCTGCCAGTCAACTCCACTCGGTAACTGGCATGGGCTGGGTGGCACATGGAAAAGGTCCCACACGCGTCGCGCCGGACAAATGTCTGGGAAAGGTGCGTGGTTCCATGCGCTAGCTAAGCTACTCGACCCCCACCCCTTCGAGAGGCCTACAGTATCTACCACAAGTTTAGCAATGCCAGTCTCTCACCCCCTCTCCCTATCTGTCGCTTGACTGGAATGGATGGACCCAGAAGAGTGTCTTCCTGAAGACGAGGGCGTTTCGCGCCATCCTCCATGTGACGGGCTAAGCGCCATCCTCCCAAGTGCATCGTGTCAGGGTCCGATGAGTCCGAGCGGGCTCCCAACATGGTTTGAAGGACTTGGGAGGAGCAAAATCACCTGAAAGAAGCAAAGAACCCATACGAAACCTAGTGGCCGAGGCTTGTTGTTGAAGCTTCCACAGCCACAGAACCCTGGATTGACGGAACATTTGTGAGAGATCATGTCTAGCAGAGTTCAAGGCCAGTCAGCAAGTGTCAGATCTCCTGGTTTCCCCTTGGGGGGATCTGGGGCAACAATCACTCCCTCCAATGTCCTAAAATTACTATGGAGATGGTGAATGGGGACCATTGGGGCCACTGGGCTGGCAGTGGTGGTTGTCGTCCTCCACACAAACGGACCGTCTCAACATGCGTTGCTTCCCCGTGCCTTCTCGATCTCTGCGCCATCTTCCAAAGTCCTGTCTCCAAGCACCAACTGCCCGCGTCGAGCCCGCAGGTGTCCCCTTTCCACGATCATGGCCCGTGCATCTGCCACCCGACTCGACAAGGGCACCGCGAGAGTGACCGGTTCTCCAGAGAGGGTGACCTAGGCGGCCGAAACAGGCGGCCGGTGGAAATCCTGCGTTCATGGCCAAGGTGTTTCCATATCTGATGGCCCCATGTGCTTGCTTGAGCATGCAGGTAGGTGGTGGACATGTTGGCATCCAATAATGTAAACATGCAGTCAGTCCAAAACGCCTAACATACTCAGTTGCACGAGAGGATCCTTACATGCATGCTTGCTTGCTTATATAGTGAATTGTCACATTCCCTGGAACTAACATGGAAGTGGACAATGCCCCCCTTGGAAGGCAATTTTCCTCTACAAACAGTGGGTTGTCCACTTGCATGTCATTTCCAGGGAGAGCAAATGAAACATCATGAAACGTGTTTGCGCCTCCAAGTGAGTGGATGAACTTGGAACCACAAAACGACTTTCACTAGATTTAGAACCACGTGTTTGGGAAGGCTGGCATGCACAAGTGATGCAGCCCCATATTGACGGCATGGTAAGTTCATGGATTCTTCCTCTAGCTCCGAATGCAGGGTTCCACCTAAACCGGCATACTCGGGCATACTCAGTCATACGTGCAAGTTATGGCATGGCTGGGGGTGTGAAACACCTTTTGTTCACAATATGATTCCTATGCTTGCCAATGATGACGGTATGACCCAACAAACAAATCAAAAGAGGTTGGAATCCTACGTTCAGCCATTGAATTGAGTGTCAAAATGCACCAAACAGCCAAACTCCCTAAATTCCATTCAAGTCGCGACAGTGACCGTCGACCGAGTAGCTGCTTCCATGGCATCGGAGGCTCTCCATGGTTCACTGACATGTTGCCTCTCCTGACCACCTCTGTGCAGTGACGATAAATCCATTGTAAATAACAAGAGCGATGCTCCTAATTGCTGGCAATCAATGCAGCCCGTTTCTGAAAATTTGTGCACTTGAAGGATCCGTGTAGACTTGGTCTGAATGCTGATTCAGTGAGTGTATTTTGCGGTTGACCATCGAAATTAGCCTTCAAGTCCACCAAGGTTGACAACAGGGGTTCCCAGTCGCCTGGCAGGAGACTTTACAAACATTTGCTTCAAGTTGCACATACCGCACCTTTAAACTTGTTTTTTTATCAAACCATATTGAACCTTTATGTGAGAACCTTTGAGGAAACCCACACGTCCACTTCAGTCGGAAAAAAAACACAGCTGCAGCTCTGGTGTCGCAGCTGTTGGACCCTTCGGCCGGGCTCCGTCCACCCCGCCTGACCACCACGCGGAAGCTCCCAGGCAGTCTCTCCTGAGAGGAGCAGCGGTCTCTCGGCTTCCACGAGCGGTGCGCTTCGCGGAAAAAGCGAAGACAAGTGGGAAAGCTATGTGTCTGAACAGTCAGAACATGCTTTTAAAGTGCTTTAAAAGCTATATATATATATAGATACACATGCATATAGAGATCCAATATGTACATTCATATTCACATCATATTCATATGATTCATATATGTATAGTATTGTAGAATGAGAACCATATCGACTTGATAGACTTGTGAAGTCTGGTTGTCCTCTCTATTTGGACACTGGCATGCAGTGTATGATACTGTATGTCATCCGTTTGTATCCATCTGTCTCTTTTTGATCCAGTTCTGTGGGACCCCATCCTGTCTCAACGTTGTAATAGTAGACCTGGCCATCTTCGGTGTTCACAGGGCTCCAGTAGGACACTGGGAAAGCCTTGGAGACGGAGCGGAGTGGGACTTCTGGAACTAAATGCTTTGGGAGATCAGTGTGCTGGCGTTGTCATGGCGCTGCGTCTCCCGCAAAGATCGTCAGTTCTCCTCCATGTCCTTGCTTATCGGCTTATCATGTAGGCTGTTGATTTCATGAACCCACGGAGACGTTAAGATGTAAAACCAATGTAAAAGCGATTCTGGAGACGGCGTTGATTCATCAGTCGGACGCAGCGATCTCCACGGACGCAGCGATTCTCCTTCCCTCTCCCTCCGTCGCCTGCTGCACGCGCCGTCGCAGGTCTTCATTGGGCACCAGCTGAATCCCCTGCCATGCGATGGCCATCTAACTTGACTAGGGTCAGGGTATGACGTCTACAGTCTACATCTCTCTATATATATATATATATATCTGTGTGTGTGTGTGACTGTGTGTGTGGGTGTTCTTGCCGCACCTGCAAGCGGTTTTGGGTCGGCTTGAAGAACCATCGAATCAATGGGTCTGCAAGCGAAGCGCATTGCCTATCACTCCTGTCACTATATTACATATTTAATTAATTACTATATATGAGAACGTCCCCACCCACAATTTGAGCCATGGGCCCCATAGAGGCCCGTGCCATGATTTTCAGACTGATCACCCTGCCACTGGATCGTGGGTCGGCCCGCCGAGGCGCGCCTTTTTCCCCAGCAGCCCGAGCCTGGAGCCTTCGTGTGAAACGGGCGATGTGAAGCTCTTCAAACGATCGTCACCCTGGAGTGGCCTATAGAGGAGAGAACCGTTCAGCGGCCATCTGCTCACAGGTGTTGTGGGATCTTTTGAAACGGTGGTTTATGTATATATTAAAATATTATATATATATATAGTATAAGCCCACTGACGAGACAAAAGGCAGAATGGCATTTGCCCGGGCACCCTGAAAATTCATTGCCCATTAGCAAAGTTGATTAGTATGTATGTATTGTGAGTGTGTGATTTGCCCCCTGGAAAAGCATAGTGGCAAAAACTACACTGTTTTGGTAGGCAAAATACAAAAGCCTTCTTCCCCCCTGTCCTCATGCTTCAATTATGTATCACTTGATAGTTTCTGCGCTGCCGAAGATATATTTTATAAATGTTCAGGGTTCGGATGTAATTTGTATATGGCATGTATTTATTTGTATTTCTTTAGTCTAATTTAAATATGTGTAATATATGTGAGTATACATCTGCTGTTTCACATAGTTCCAAAAAAATCGCAGTACATCAAAATCACACAACACAAACAAAGGATGGTTTTAGTTTGCAAGGGTCTAGGTTTAGTTTTTAACAGGGGAGTCTAAACTGAAGAAGACGAAGATCGGCCACGAGTTTCATACACACAAGGAAACATCGTTTTTAGAAACACAGTGTAGATTCAACATGATGGTAATTAGAACTGGACATGTAGTTGAAACGGACATCACATGGATTTCAACATATGTCACGCATATTGTTCATCCACATGCCTCCAAAGTCAGGCCTGACCTTATTGGCTGAGTGGAAGGGGAAGTGTTGATCCGCTGTTGGCATTCTTCCAGGATGACTTTACTCGGACGACTGTACAAAACTGCTCAATAGTACTGCTGCGGAAGTTGCCCTTCGGCAAACCCCCTCTACAGTGCAACTGCTGCAGCTTCCGGCTCCAACTCGTCCGGATCAAGGGATCGCTTCAGTCGTGTGGGTTGTATGCCACAACAGGACGAATATTCTCTAAGAATTATGTGCACATCCCGCACATATCTTAAGATCTCCCAAGAAAAGCACAAAAGCTGCTCCCATGTCATCAACCCAAAAGCTGCTCCCATCTCCTAAGTACAAGGGCTTCGAGGTGATCCCAACCCAAGAGGACCCCCATGTGAAAGAGTGCTTCTGACCATTTGGCAATGAAACCTGGCCCTGTCATTGTAGCTCACACTCAGTTAGCTTCGTATCAGCTTACCCCCACGAATGGTCCAAGAGCCCTTGACACGTTTTGATCCATTCTGATGGTTTGAACGTCAGGGACCCGTTTCTGGACCGCCAAACATTCAACATCTCAATCATTCTGAGCCCCATTCCTGGACCTAACTGGGCTTGGATGATGTGCAGCTGGGACCGCTTGGAAGCTCCAGCAGGTGGGATGTTCAGACTTTCCTGTGAAAGCTGCGGTCACTCTGCCAGGACCATGAACATTGAATTACAGTACAAACCTAAAGAGAAAAAAACAATGGTCCAACCTCTCTTTAGATGCACAAAACAATAGCTAGCAATTGGCCCATGCAAAATCGCTACGTCGACTTCACACACTGTATCCATGCTCTGGCAAAGCAAGCTCAGTTGCTCCTGAAGACCAACATGGACCACCAAATCCAAGTCAAAGCACCAAAAATCCTCACGATGGGCCAAAAACCGGGTCCATGTTAGCCTGCGTTGGCACTGGGAGATAGATGCGAATCACAGCTTGGCCGGATCGCAGGTGCCACGGAGATCGGCGTGGAGCTGCGTGGACTCCCAACGGATTGGCGCGTCAAGCCCTATCAGGCCACAGCACATGGAAACTGCATCATTTGTGTAGTGGAATCGGATCAAGCATGATATATAAAGCCCTATCATGTAGTACTGTCATGTAGTATCACGAGCCTTCACTCTGCTCGAAGCACTATCGATGTTGGAGACGCCCTTGGCCCTAAAGTGGCACACGTGCCTGGCCTTCTGACAGTGTGTCACATCAGCCAACCCGTTGGCAATCCAACCTGGAAAAATTATCGAGGTCGCCTACACCTCGAGAAATGATGCGTGTTGATCAAACTGTTTGAAATGCTTGAAACATGGACTATGTTTAAACAATGCCTCAAATGCCTCAATCCTTCTCCCTGATCCTTCCCCACGGGCGAGGTCGTGGGTTGCACCTGTCACTGAAGCTGGCAGCCAGCATGGTCACAGCAACTGTGATTTCCCAGGGGCTTCCCCTCATCATCCTGATCTGCAATCTTCACTTGTGATGCCGTGAGCATCCCCTCCGCTTCCTTGGCCGTGTTGGGGCTCTGACGCCCTCCTTGGTCGGGGAATGGCACATCGTCAGGAAACTGGAAAGAAACAAATCAAACAGGAAAACGGAAAACTTCCTTGGCACTGCTTGGCAAAAAATGAATGCCATGTCAAAAGGAGCGACAAATTTGGACAACATAGTAACATAGTTTATTTAAAACGGGCCATGCTAACAACATGACGTAAGAACGTGGACTAGTCAACTGCTCAGTGGAAGAACTCCAGGCGTCCCAAATTGTTCTGAGACAGATTCTTGGACCGAACGGTCTTGCTGGATGTGCGACCCTCTTCTGCCTCTTGCTTGTGATGCTTCCCCCTCTCTGTGTCAATCACACGTGCAGCAGCATCAGCATAGTGTGGCTCAACAGCCCCATGAGCACCCTGCGGGCTGGCATTTTTAGGCTGAACATCCTGTGAGACTTGCACAAAGATTTCAAACATCAACCACTGCGTTCTCCCTCTTACGAAAAGATCCTTCAACCCTCTCTGATTTGCTAGATGTTTGTTTGGGGCCAGGTGCTCGCATCGCCGAGTGGTCAAAATGCTTTCGCAACGCACAAAAACGCGCCTTCAAGTACTCAAGCCATTCGTCGTAAGAGATGGCACCATCATTCTTCAGGTTGAGCTCACTCAAGAGGCTCTGCACCTCATTGCCCTCGAAGGTCTGCCCTAAGACTTCTCGAAGGTTCTCCACGGTGATGAAGCCCGAGTTGTCGACATCAAAGCGACGAAAGGCCACCTGCAAGGTATGATCGTGCAAGTGAATCCTGGACGCCACCATCGCAGCTAAGAACTCATGATAGTGCACTTCATCTTTGTGACTGGCATCCAGTGCTTTGAAGGCCTTCTCCAAGGTCTCATCATCAATTTGGAGATTTTGCTCCACGGCCTGCTTGAACTCGTTGATCGTGATCGTGCCACTGCGATCCTTGTCGATCTGCAGGAAGGCATCCCTCACCTGCTTTCGTTCTTCGACCCCCAAGGACCAGCTGAGCATGTTGAGGCAAGCGCGCTTGAAGACTGAGACCTGCACAAGAAGAATCGAAACTCCCATCATACCCTTTTGAGA